GGAGGCGCCCAGGAAGGGGAGCGAGGGGAAGAGGGTGAGAGGACAGAACAGAGGGGGAGGGAAGGGGAATGGAAGGTAGAAAGGAAGGGATAGTTCAGTTTTGGTGTTGGGACCCCCCCTGACGTGACGATTGGACCTTTTGCCAGCACGGGTGTTTCCGCAACACTATTCTCAATATTGTGCGTGCGCCCCTGTACGCCTCTGCGCACACGGGCTAAACATGCTCAGCTGCTCGCATTGTTGCAACTTGGGTTCTATGACTGCCGATCTCGGCTCAGCCGCGCTCACCGCCACTCGCGCCAACGAGCAGTCCTTCGAAAAACGCGCCGTCATCGGAGCCTTGCAGCTGATTGCGTTGTCGCCCACTTCCGCCACCCTGTCTGGACCGGAGACCCCCCTGCAGATGCGCGGAGGTCACGGGGGGGGGCCAGGACTGGATGGGACACCCTGCAAGCGAGCCCGCGGGAAAAACAATGGGAGGGGCAAGGGGGCCCGCCAGGGCCTCGGGGCCGAGGTCGAGGTCGGGCTCAAAGAACGTTTGACAGGCGAGCGTCTGGAGCCGCTAGGTCATGCCATCGGCCTCGGACGCTGCGCGAATGCCCCAGTTCTCATTTGATCTCTTTCAGCTCCAGACGACGCGTCGTAGAAGCCCTCAAAAACCCTTTACACGGCTTGTGTTACCATATCAAGCGGCGGCAGGTCCCACGACTAAGTTTAAGGGACCTCCCAAGAAGCCAGCGGGCCCAAAACTCGCTGTCTGATAGGCGGGGCCAGCTGGACAACTCGCTCGTGAACTCGCCTCTCGGGCTGCTGGCCAAGCCGGCCAAGCAGCGCGAAATGAAGCGCCCAAGCTCGGCCGTCGTGCCCGCATTTCGCTTCAGCGCGCTGCGCCTCCAGTTCAGCGAGGACGTCTGCGCAACTGTCCTCGCCCTCCACGAGGATGCGCCCCGAGTTGCCCTGGGCCTTCGCCCGCAGGAGGTCGGCGCCTCGCCGCGCCGCTTCGATCGCTCCGATCGCGCCGTCGGCGACTGCTGCAACCACTTTGGCAGCGCCGGTGCTGACGTCAGCTCCTGCCACCTCGATCCGGTCCGCGGCCGAGCCCGCCTCCTCCGCCGCGTCGGCGAGGGCGGCGAGGCTGCGGGCAGCGTTGGGGGAGAAGCTGGACGGGTGAACGACTCAGGAACAGCGCGCTCGAGACGCAGGCGTGACCCCGACAGCGCCCACTTCCGGGCCGCCGCCCAGCCCCAGACCTTGGCCTTCAATAACTTGGCACCCTTGCTCGCCAGCGGGCGCGGGCCGTGCACGGGGCGGGGCGTCTGCGGCAAGGCCGCCCAGGGGGGGGGCCAGGGCGGCGGCGGCTTCTGGAAGGCCGGCGCCGGCGGCGCCGGCCCGCGCCCGGCCCCCCGCTGGCGGCGGCGAATCGCCCTTAGCGATGACGCACGAACACGGCGAGCATCTCCACAGGGCCGCGGCGAAGATCGCGATCGACGCGGCGCCCCAAAGCCCGCGCCAAGCCCCGTGGGCCCACGGCGCGTGACCCTCCACTCCCTGAGCGCCCTTAAGGCCACCGTCTCCGGAAGCCCCGTCGCCCAGCCCCGCGCTGCCTCGCGAAGCGGAGCGCGCTGAGGGGCCGAGGGCCAGCGGCGGGCCAATGGGGCATCCCGCGCCCAGACCCCCAACGAAGGCGACGCGGCCTCCAGGGGGGCCCAGGCGCGCCTTCCCGAGGAAAGCGTGGCCTAGTAGTGGACTGCGGCCTTGCGGGCAGGGGGCCTCGGCCTAGCGGGGCGCTTCTGGACGCCGCGGGCCGAGGCCATATCCATCTCCCAGGGCCCCTGACGGGCGGCAACCCTGCAGCCCAGTCGATCGAATCTAGATCATCAGCGGCCCGATGCGCGAAGGAAGCCGCGGGCCCCTCGGGGCCCGCCTGGTCGACCCCTCAGACAGCGCCAGAGCGCCATCCATGTGCAAGCAGAAACCAATGTCGGGCTTCTCTACGCGGCGTCTCTCATCTCGACGCTTCTCTCGTCGAGCGCGTGAACGCCCCCGCGCGCTTGCGGCCGCCTGGGCGACTCCACTGCGGCAGACTGATTTAAGAGGGGCGATCAGGGGCAATGGGCGCCGGGCCTTCGCCATGGCGCCGCGCGCGGAGGAAGCTCCGAATGGTGCGCGAAGCAGGGCGCACGCCGAGGACAGAAGGGTCGGTCGCCAAACGTGTAGTCGCGACTTCTGGCCCCCCACTTCCCCCTGCAACACGACCGGTGCTCCTTTGAAGTTGGCGCGATTCCGCGGCGGCGGCCTCCCCCTTCCCGCAATCCGCCCGCCGCCCCCGACAGCGCCGGCCGGCCCGCCGCGCCTGCGCTGATCAAAACTGACGCACGCAGCGGCCGTGCGCTCCTCCGCAACGCGCATCCCCTCTGCGCTATAAACTGAAAGATCTGGTCCCTTCCCTGCAGGGAAAGGACCGTATCTTCCATTTCCCTGCGCGGGCGACCTGAGGGCCCATGGGCCCTGAGGGCGCCCGCGCACGCGCGCGCTGCCTCGGACCGAGACCTCTTCGCGCCGGGCGAGGAAGTTCGCCCATGGGCAAAAGATTGGACCCCCTGGGCTTCCCTGGGCCCGTCAGCTCATCCCTCGGTCGACCCCGGATAAACCTGCCGATGGATCTGAGCGGCCTCGAGCCACCCAACAATGCGGAAGGTTCTGGCTCGACAGCTGTCGGAAACCGTTAAGCAACACACACACATAACATATGGTGTGAACTCCTCCCCCCTCCCCCCGAATGCAATGTTGGGCTCGGGTTGAATATCGGGCCACGGATGCGTATACGTGCAAACCAAATTGCGGGGGGGGGGATATTGCTTAATTGTTCCCTCAACCGGATCTCCTGGCCTGCTCTCGTACATGCAGGCCGCCAGGCGGCGGAGGGATATTTCCATTAGGTCACTCGTTCCCCAAAGCTTTACCCGTGTTTCCTCAGGGGCGCAATCCTTCACGGCGACGTCCAAGGTGGTCGTCATCGTCCACTGATCACTGGCGAAACCTGCTCCCGCCGCACCTGGAAGAAAACCAACCCCGTGTCGAGGTGCATCCCGCAGCTTTCGACCTGTAGATCTCCGCCGCCGCCCGCTGCATGTGGGGGGAGCGTCGTCCCCCACCGCGTTTCTTGGCTGCTGCCTGCCGCATCGGTGAGGCCACCGCACACTAGCGGATCACCCGCGGTGCCCCCCAAGGCGGGCGGCTGGGCCTGGACCAACGCGTCCAAGGGTCGGTCGAAGTCGGGGGCCTGCGGCGCCGACAAGGTGCCGTCGCCGACATACCCGTGCCCGCGCAGCAGCATCACCGAATCCCCGAACTCGCCCGCTTTTTTCGTTTCGTCTCGCCGAGGTAGGTCCAGAGCTTCGGACCCCAGTGCGGGTCGATGGTCGCTGTCCCGCTGGAAGGCCACCAGCGCGCCCCGCCTGTGGCGCGGGGGGCGGTGGGCTTGCGCTGGGCTCGCGGCCGCGCCGCCTCCGCCCAGCCCGGCCCGGCCCGCCAGGGCTGTCAGGGCTGCGGCTCCCACGGGCGCGCGGGATACGCCGCCTTCTCTGATGGGCCGACTTCCCACCACCACTACCATAGGCAATAGGCAGGAGGAGGAGGAGGAGGAGGAGGAGGAGGAGGAGGAGGAGGAGGAGGCGGCGGAGGCGGAGGCGGCGGAGGCGGAGGGGGAGGAGGAGGGGGAGGAGGAGGAGGAGAGGAGGAGGAGGAGGGGGAGGAGGGGGAGGAGCAGGATGAGGAGGAGGAGGAGGAGAGGAGGAGGAGGAGGCGGAGGAGGAGAGGAGGAGGAGGAGGAGGAGGAGGAGGAGGAGGAGGAGGAGGAGGAGGAGGGGGAGGAGGGGGAGGAGGGGGAGGGGGAGGACCTCCCTATCCTCCCTTCTCCCCCTGTCCTCCCTATGGTAGCAGTGGTGGAAGGTTGGCCCATCATGCTCCGCCCATGGCACCGCCCTGGGGCGCCGCCCCGGGGGCACCGCCCTGGGTACAGCCTGGGATGCCGAGTGGCGTGGGGGCAAGGGCGGCGCGGCACCGGCGGCAGCGGCCCTGCACCGCCGGGGCACGGTCTGGGAGGCCTCCCCGGGGCGTCGAGTCCTGGGAGGTCCGACGTCTCGCGCGGCCTGCAGCCGTGGCGGCCGGCTCGCTCCTCGGGCGCGCACGAGCTCCTCGGCAGCGCCGCCCTCGAAGGAGCGCGCGAGGGGCCGGCCCGCCAGGCAAGGCTGGCCTGGGCGGTCGCCCCCGCGAGGCATCCTGGCAGCGCCCAGCTCAGGGAGCGGCGCCACGTCTCGGACGCCGTCGGCATGGGCGCACACAACGCTCTGGATATGCCCAGTCACCGCGAAGGAGGGCGAGGCGAAGGGGAGGGGACGGGGGAAAACTGAGGGGCAAGCGAGAAAGGGAGTTTGAGGGAGGGGAGGAGGGGAGGGGAGTGGAGGAGAGGTGAGGGAGGGAAGGGAGAAAGGGGAGAGGCAGATGAACGTCACTGTCAAAGGACACTTTGGAAGCACCACCTTTTGCACGTCGAGAGAAGATGCGCCACCACTGACCTCTGAGGTAACTCGCAGGTGACACGCGTCTAAGCGTACATGGATTGATAAACGTCCCATTGTATCGAAACACACACACACACACACACACACACACACACACACACACACACACACACACGCACACACGCGCGCGCGAACGTACACGCATACGTATCACATCTTCACTTGCTCACAACTGCAGGCAATCGCGCACATACAATATGCTGGTATACAGCTGCTGAAAGAGAGTCGTCGAAGGCCATGGGCCGAATGACGCCGATCCCCAGCGTCGAACACGATTAAGTAAACAAAGGACACGGGCGATTGCGGGAAACGTATTCACTTTAATCCACAACAACATCCAGAGCAACGAGACAGTCCACGATCAAATTCGTGAGTGACGCATGGGCGAACGAAAGACGCACAAACTGAAGGGCGCAC